ACCTTACTTCACTGTTGGCGTGAACAGTGAATTATGGAACCAAAATATAAATCTTTCAACATTCTCTCCCTGCTCCCCTATGTTTAAAGCCACTTTGAATAGTCCCATAAAGGATCATTTTCTTAACACTGATTTGCACCAAGGATCTCTCAGATATCTCAATACAAAAATAAACTGGCTTCTGCAAAACAGGCTTCACAGCTACAAACACCAGATGTGTGTGGGAGGAGAGAAACTGTTTTGAATGGAAGTACAGAGAAAAACCAAATTTCTCTAGGATAATAATATTAGCAATGAAAAGCTTGCTGTTAGTCACACTATCACTTTATTGCGGATTCTGTTCCATGAAGAAAAAGTACCACATGGAATGGTATAGTTTAACCACGAAAACCATATGGGTTAGGCACAACGGAGTTCTTAATGCAAGGAAGGCTTGTTGGCTTTTCAACTAGCTTTCAAATACTTACCATTAAACTACAATAACAATAGAGCTAGAAAAGGGCCGGCAAGTAGTCCTTGACTTACAGCCATTCATTCTGTGACCATTCATAGTTATAACGGCACTGAACAAATTGACTTATAACAGTTTTTCACACTTACAGCAGTTGCAGCATCCCCATGGTTAAGGGATCAAAATTTGGGCACTTGGTAACTAGTATGTATTTATGACAGTTGTACTATCCTGGGGCCATGTGATCACCCCTTGCAACCTTTACAACCGGCTTCTGACAAGCAAAGTCAATGGGGTAAGCCAGATTTGCTTAACAACTGGATAATTCCCTTAACAACTGCAGCGATTTCCTTAACTAACTGTAGCGAAAAGGTCGTAAAATGAGTTGCAACTCACTCAACACCTGCCTCGCTTAGCAATGAAAATTTTGGGCTCAACTGTGGTCGTAAATTGAGGACTATCTGTATATTAAAAGGGTTTAATTTATTCTCAGAAAACTCCCAGAGAATCTCTAGAATATCTTAGATAGCGCATAACAAGAATTGCACACACAACCCCCTTGTTCTTGGAACAATCTGAATGGCCCTTACCTTGACCTTGTTTTAAGTGAGCCTTGAAGACCAGGCTCATCCCCCAAGGCCCTGAGTTAGGGAACATGACCAGTTCTTTTGGGGAATATGGTGGTTGAGAATTATGTTTGTACAGTATTGCTTTTTCAAGATAACTTGGTTTTTATTGGTTTTTATGATATTATCATTTTTAATATCACATGTTGCCTGGAGCAAGTACAGATTTGACGGCTTTGGAAATCTGACTGATGTATAAACAAACAAGAGACATGCATTTATTATTAATTGCAAGAAACAACTAACAGAGATGACAAAAAGAAGAGATATAGTTGTTTAATAATTGTGATTACTAAGCTAATATTGATTAGTTCTTCTAAAAGCAAATGCAGTTGATGATTGCCCACAGAACAGTAGCCAATATTGGACCATTAAGGAAAACAATATCAACACATTCAGAGCATTCTCAAGTTTGCAATTATTCAAGACATCCCCTTAGAAGTGGAATTTCATCTTGACAAATGGGAGAGACAGATAATGCTCACTTATTACAAGGGCTGTCATTTGGAGTTTTTAACTTCAGTCATGTTTTAGTAATATAAGAAGATTCTTAACAATTTTATTGTCATAGGGCAGATAATCGCTTTGGATGCATATGTGTCTGTGAAAGATTTCCATTTAGGAAAAAAAATGGAAGCCTTTCTACTATATGCTATAGTTCTATAGTCAAATTCAATGAAATTACATAGCCATTATTCAACTTTTATGGAAGTTCCATCTGTAGATTATTACTGCATTTGTTCTGGGCTTCATAGATGGGTTGAAATTAAAATATTTTAAATAGTTAAATATTTGGATCTGTGTTCAAAGTCAATGTTTTCAACTTTAAATGCACTAGTATGAAGATACTATACCAAAGGATGGGAAAGCTCTCCCCTCTTCCTTACCTTGCAACACAAACTCTCAGCACAGAGAAGGTGATGAGGACAGCATCAAAAGTTATACATTCAGTTGTTCAGTCTTTGTCAGCCCAAGACTGGATAAAAAGAAACAAAAAGCAAAGAATTAATCACAAGCAACAACATGATGTTTTGGATGCCTGATATAATTCCTGATTTTTTTAAAAGCCTGAAATAAAAAAATGGAAAGAAAATGTTAGGACAATTTATCAATTTTTAAGAAAAGGTCTTTGTGTTAAGTATATTGGTGTAGAGAAAGGTCATCTCCAAAAAACACCCATAGATTTTTGTGCCTTTCAAATAGAACAAAATAGAGCAGAAGTCCCCAACTTTGCAAGCTGATGGGCATCTTTAGAACGTTAAGAATCTACAAAATGGCAACTTAGAAATGCATCACAGTGTATATGGAACTATGTAACAAATCCTCCTCACCTTGCACAAGCCAGATACTTATATTTTTCAAAACACTTTGTATTTCAATTTATAGATACTCTGAAGAGGTCTCTTACAAGGTACTCTGTTGTTTGCCTTATTCAAAATCCCTCTTAAATTAAAAACCCGAAATTCTAAATAAGTTAGTGTTCCCTTTAATTCCAGATTTTTGCTCCAAGTCAAGATGACTCAACATACTAACTTTTCCTACTACAGATCGAAAACATGGAATCTGGTCTCAAGCATGTCATAATCAAATAGCAAATACTATATATACTTGGTTCTGTGACTAAATAATTCAGAGAAGCTCATGTACCCTTAAGAAAATCACAGCTGATCCAATACTCAGAATAATGAAGCCAGACAACATGCCTTGTCCTTGGGTCATAAAACTAAAACAGTCAGGATTTAATTAAGAATTAGATGTAGTCCAAACTGCAAAACAGGTAGATAATAACAGCCCATCCTAAAGATACAATTGTATGCTCTTTGTGCCCAGTTAACCCAGGAACATTTGCTTTGCTACAAGGCTTGCTATGCTACATATAGATTTGCCATGAGCCCAAGGGTCATTCTTTATATAGATTCAATCTGTACTGCAATTTAGATAGCTGAATGGATAGTTTATGTCAGCAGTAACCAGCAGTTCAAACATTTTCCAAGTAGATAAGCAATCTGAGCTAGATATCAGCACAATGCATAAAACAAATACATCAAATAATGTAAGTATCTTGCATGAATTTCCAGTTCCAACAGCTTTTTCCAACTGCAACAATCAAAGAAACCATATGGGGAGATCTATTCAGATTATACTTCAGTATGTACAAAAACTGGAAGATATTCTGTACTTTTCATATAGAAAAGATGTCCAGGATAAGCATTAGTCCTAAGGCAGAATCTAATGCTACATTTAGATGACCAGTACAGATAGAAAATTAGATTTGTATCACACCTTTATTTTTAAGAGCTTTAATTTACATTGCAAAGGAGCTTTAGTGCAGCACCAGAAGGCTGTCCAAACATCATCTTCAAAGCTCATGTTCCTGGTAACAGAATAACTTGCATGGAAGATTAGCACTTAAATGGACCTTAGCTAAAAGTGCCACAGCTTCAAGGAAATGATGCAAGAGATAAAGCATGGACAAAAAGTGGATGAATTTAATTCAAACAGACCACAATGTACAGGAGGGGATAAGCTATTGTTATTATGCTCTGAACTAGTATAGAAATATTAATTATGCATGCCTGTCTATACAGTACTCAAAGTAATATGAATGTCAATAAATTTCTGCATAGTTCACTATACATTTTTTTTTAAATATAACACTTAAAAGAAAATGCACCAGGAAAGAAGCTGTAGCATCCCGTATCAAATTATTAAACAGCATACTATAGCTCATTCATTTCTCATTGTCAGGATATTTTCTCAACAGTATTTTGTGAATGATTTCAAGTACATAATTATGACTGAAACAACTCCAGAATAGTAAGGGAAAAGGCTTCTGAATTGGGTAAGAGCAGTGGGATTATCCAGGGAGGCCGTTTTTTTAAATGTCTATCTTGGTCTCTGCTGTTTCATCCTGGATCACACTGGATGCAAGTCACTGACTGCCTTTTCTTTTTCTCAAATTTCTTATTACAATTAATAACACTTCCCCGTGTACTATTATTGGCACTGTATATAATAGTATCAAAGCAGTTTGATAAAACAGCATCCCGTCAGGAACAGGCAGAGCCGCGATTTAAAATGCTACTTTTAGAATTGCAGCGACACACTTGAGGCAGACTGTGAGAACAGCTAAGCAGCTCCAGGCAATAATTCCAATCGTTAGGATCATGCTGTCTTCCCAGCCTCGCCGTCCTGCCTTCAGAGCCAGGTGCCCTGGAGAATATGGGAGATACAGTCCAATACATCTGGGGCACATCAGGCTGGGGAAAGCCGCCTTAGATCTACTTTTATCGCTAGATTTTAAGGGGGAGGATGAGAGAGGGAAAAAGTAGACGCGGCCGGTCTATCTATCGTGCTGGAGAAAGCGAAACAGCGGCGAAGCCCCGGTCAGACCAAACTTAGATCCCGCCCTTTGCCAGCTCACGATGAAACTGTGCAAACTCCAGGCACAACTCATCCTCGCCGACGGGGAGTGGTAAGAATTGGCCAGCGCGGCGCCTGCGGTATTTCGCCAGCGGGGAAGGCACTAACTCAAGAGCCAGGCGACGCTCCCTGCAAAATGTTTAGAAACCTCGGTATTGGCTCTGTCCTTAAAGAAAGCAAAAAACCCCACTCCAGATCAGAGGGGGCTATTTCGCCAGGAGCTGCAAGAACCCCCCCTCCCACCCGCACCTTTACTCCTCCAGAGCAGTCCCACAGGTGGCAAGGCCAGGGACTTCCAACGCGTCTTCCGAAGGGAAGCCTGAGAAAGCACCGAACAGATTACTCTACCCTCCCCAAAGCAGCTGCATCCCACCTCCGTCCGACGGGCCCGCTGGGAAGGAACGCGCCTTAGGAAAGCAAATTGAAAGAAACACAGCTGCCCCCACCGCAGCACATGCCTTCATAAAGCCACGCCCCTCAACTCCTTAAGCTCCGCCTCGGATTCCATTCAGCATCGGCGCCATCTGGCAAAAAGACCCGCCTTTCCTCCGCAGCCTCTCCCTCTGACTCTCCACCCTCGGTCCATGCTTCTCAAACAAAACGTCATCGATGGGTACCCGGAAGTTACGGCTTCTCCTTGGCTTTCCCAGATGGGGGAAAAGAACAACCTCGCCTCAGCGGTCGCATCGTGTGACGTAAGAAAACACACACACCACAAGTTTTTATAAATGTGCATATTATATGTATATGTATATGTGTGTACATATTTATAATATATTAATACCCCAGAATTAGATAGATAGATAGATAGATAGATAGATAGATAGATAGATAGATAGATAGATAGATAGATAGATAGATAGATAGATAGATATGTAACAATATACAACTGACTGGAAGAGTAAAGTGTTTCAAAGAAGACTAAAAACAAAACTAGATAGGCAAAAGAACAAAAGGAGGCTGCACAGTCACCCAATCCCCAAGACCTGGGAGAAAAACTAGGTCTTCAAATGTTTTAGTCTTACCTAAAGGTGGAGCCATAAAAACCTCTTGGGAGGAGATTATTCCAGAGGGCAGGAATTACAACAGAGTAGGCATGCTTGGGGGGGGGGGTCCCATGTGATGTCATTCTGTAATTGATGGGACCTGGCACACCGACGAGCAGTGATAATAGAATAACAGAGTTGGAACGGACCATGGAGGTCTTCTGCTCAAGCAAGAGACCCTATATCCTTTCAGACAAATGGTTGTTCAATCTCTTCTTTAAAAGGTCCAGTGTTGGAGCACTGAAAACTTCTGGAGGCAAGCCATTTCCTGATTCATTGTTCTAACTGTAAGGAAATTTCTCTTTAGTTCTAGGCTGCATCTTTCCTTGATTAGTTTCCATCCATTGCCTTCAGGTGCTTTGGAGAATAGGGTTACTCCTCTTTTTTGTGGCAGCCCCTTAGATATTGTAACACTGCTATCATGTCACCCGAGTCCTTCTTTTCATTCAATTAGACTATACCCAATTCCTGCAATCATTCTTTATATATTTTAGCCTCCAGTCTCCTAATTTGTTGTTCTTCTCTGCACTCTTTCTAGAGTCTCAACATCTAGAGTCCCTCAGATATTTAGGGTAAGTGATTTTTCAGATGCCAGGAAGAAAACAAATAAAAACAACCTTCCCTGGAGTTTTAATAAAGACCCCAATTTATTATTTTAGGATCAAATCAAACTATAATTCCATTCCCACCCCTCTCCGCTTCACATGTAAGGGCAACAAGAAATTGCTTAGCCCTGCTCCTTGATCATGGTCTGGGGTACTGCTAAAGATCAGACCAACAGACAGAGTCTTGTCAATTTCACCTCAGCTTTATTTATTTATTAGATTTTTACCCTGCCTTTATTATTTATGAGTAACTCAATACAGAGAACATACACAATACTCTTTCCTCCTCCTCTTTGTCCCCGCCCCCCAACAACAACCTGTATGATGGATGGGCTGAGAGTGAGTGATTAGCCCAAAGTCACCTAGCTAGCTTTCATGCCTAAGATAAGAAACTCACACTCTCCTGGTTTCTAGCCTTAACTACTACATCAAACTGGTTTCCTTGCACATGCTACTGTACAATAATAGTTATTAGACAGCATGGTTCAAAAAGTTCAGCACTGCTTGGTATAGTACAGTGGTAGGCAACTTTGGCTCTTTTATGACTCGTGGACTTCAACTCCCAGAATTCCTGAGCCAGCCATGCTGAGGAGAAATGGACAGGTTTCCAAGCTGAGCCATGCTGGCTCAGGAATTCTGGGAGTTGAAGTCCACGAGTCATAAAAGACCCAAGGTTGCCTACCCTGGTATAGTAGTATGCATTTGTCTGGTAAATGCAAGAATATCTAAGCAATTGCTCTGGAGGGGATTTCTAAAGGCAACAAGCCACCAACAAGCAATCTTTAGGATCTTTAAGACCTAATCCCAAGCATAAACACCAAGACAACCAATTAAACAAGGAAGTAGAAAGTGATGGGAAGGAAGAAAAAATTGATACAAAGTAGGAGATGTAGAAAGCAAAACAAAACAAAAATGCCCAATCTACCAAAAACAGAACTGAAAGGCAGACTAGGAATACTAATTAAAATAGGCAAGAAAATGGCAAGAGAACACCTATCCACTCTAGACAAATTCAGATCACCTGGTCCTGATGGATTACATCCCAAAATTCTGAAGAAGCTGGCAGATGTCATCTTGGAACCATTGAATCATATCTTTCAAAGATTCTGGAGCACTGGAGAACTACCAGAGGACTGGAAAAGATCTGATGGGATTCCCATTTTCAAAAAAAGGGGGGGGGGAAACAGATCCAGGAAACTACAGACCAATCAGCCTGGCATCAATATCTGGGAAGATCCTGGAAAAAATAATCAAACAACAAATCTGCGAACACATAGAAGCAAGTAAAGTTATAAACAGAAGCCAACATGGGTTTGTCAAAAACAGATGATGCCCAAAAAAATTTATTTCATTCTTTGACAAAGTGACTAAATTAGTGATAAAGTGACTAAATTAGTGGATTAGCGAAATGCTGTGGATGTATGATAATATACTTGGATTTCAATAAGGCATGTAACAAAATAGACCACAACCTACTTCTTGGAGAAGCTAGAAAAATGTGGGATAGACACATCGCCCTAGATGGATTTGTCGCTTGCTAACCACACTCAATATGTAGTCCTTAATGAAACTACATCTACATGGAGGGAAGTAAGCAGTGGGGTATCTCAAGGTTCTGTTTCAGGCCCAGTATTCTTCAATATCTTTATATAGATGAGGGAATAGAAGGAGAACTCACCAAAATCTCCAATGACGCCAAGCTGGCAGGAATAGCCAGAAAACAGGCACAAGATCAAGATGGACCTCAACAGACTTGAACACTGGGCCCTATCTTACAAAATAAAATTCAGTGGAGAGAAAAGTAAGGTTTTACACAGGTAAAGAAAACCAAATGTACAGATACAGATTAGGTGAAACTTGGTTCAATAGCAGTAACTGTGAGAGAGATCTTGGAGTCCCAGTGGATGGTCATTTGAATGAGTCAGCAGTGTGCTGCAACAGCTAAAAAAAAATCCAGTGCAATCCTAGTTCGCATTAATAGAGGGATATTATTAAGATCACATGAAATGATAGTACTGCTTTACAATGCCTTGGTAAGACAACACTTGGAATACTGCATCCAGTTTTGGTCACAACAATATAAAAAAGATGTTGAGACTTCGGAAACCGTGCAGAGAATAGCAACAAAGATGATTAGGAGGCCAGAGGCCAAAACATACAAAGAACAGTTGCAGGAATGGGATATGTCTAGTCTAGTGAAAAGAAGGACTAGGGAAGACATGCTAGCACTGTTCCAATATCTGAGGGGCTGCCACAAAAAAGAAGGGGTAAACTTATTTTCCAAAGCACCTGAAGGCAGAACAAAAGCAATGGAGGGAAACTAATCAAGGAGAGAAACAATCTAAAACTAAGGAGAAATTTCCTGACAGTGAGAGCAATTAACCAGTGAAATGGTTTGCCTTCAGAAGTGGTGGGCGCTCCAACACTGAAGGCTTTGAAGAAGAGATTGAAAAACCATTTGTCTGAGATGATTTAGGGTCGCCTGCTTGTGCAGGGATTGGAATAGAAGACCTCCAAGGTCCCTTTCAACTCTGTTATTCTCTTCTGTTCATCATTTCTCTTTTAGAATCTGAAAACAAAATCAAGTGAAACTGAAGCCTGGAAGCTGGGAGACAATGAGGCAACTGTTGAGCTATTAAACAGATAATAGCAAGTGAATCCAGAGATGCAGCGCTAATTCTGGAATGTTCCAAGAGTTCCTGCGCAAGTATTTTCAGTTAAAGCTTTAGTATAGTAATGCCTCCAAGTGTATTTATTAATTTGTAACTTTCATATCCCATTCTTCTACCAGGGACCTATACAATGGGTCATCTCATATTCTCCTCACAATTACCGGTATGTTGTATGGGAAACAAAACGAAGAGATCAAGTCTTGCTCAAGGCATTCCAGTGAATATCATATTTAACTTATTAACTTTATTTCAATTAAGAAATTAATTTACTTAGCAACAAAATGCCACCAAGTTGACCCTTGTGTCCAGCAGCAAAAAAATAAGGCAAATACTGCAAATCCTTGTAGCTGGTATTATTTTTGGCTAAGCTCTACACTGTGCCAGCTACAGTTTCAAGAAGGTAAGAACATGACAGGTAGTTCTTAAGGTAGAGGCCGTTGTGATTTGATTTATGTTGCCTTATGAATATTCTAGTAGATTTGGTGTGTCACATGTTATTCAATTGGCTTTCTCAGAATCTTTCCAGCCAAGTGGAGAAGCTATTACTAACTTTCTGCAAGCTCTTGTGGAGAGACAGGCTGTCTGAAGGAATTAGCATTATAGGGGGCTTCTGAATTCAAAAGAACAAGCACAGCATGTGCTTGTTAACTTCACAATGGAGCATTAGAATCTGTGGTTTGGATTTTCCAGATTAGAACATCTCTGGTGGAGCCATTTTATTCAAGTTTATTTTTCAGAATTATCTGCCTCACACTTGCAAAGTTAAGAAGAGCAAATGCTGAAGTAGCTTTTCATCCCAAGACAGAGAGAAAATCAGCAAGAAACACAAGACAGTTACGTGGAAACACTGTTTTCTCTCTTCCTGCATATACTGGGCCAGCAGTGGTTAATTAGTTACGGTACTAATACTTCTTGGCCGTATAACTTTTACTTGAATTTCAAAAGTGTATCTCTACCTCCACTCCCCATAGAGGCTTAATTTGGCCTCTACTATGCATCCTTTCTCTATTGTTTTTAATTGCTTGCTCAATTACCTAAAATGTGAAGCCTGTGTAGATTATGATTTCTATCCAGCTTGTTGTTATACATAGTTTCCCTATCTCGTGAATAGTTGCTGTGCTGTATTTCTGCCAATTTTAAAAGCTGCTCATTCTCTACATTTGGCATTAGAAAGATGAAGAGACTGAGGTAATTTGCTATATAGACATATTTGACTGAGCAAACTTTTTTTTCAGAATAAGAAAAATAGAATTTGTTCTAAGATTGATTCCGTTCCAATACAAAAACAGTTCCAGCCCTCTATAATTTCACAGTTCTGTTTGGGATTGAGAGCTGAGCTGATTTATTTCTGGATTAACTACAGTGTGTTTGAAACTGCAACAACATGAGCCCTTAAAAAACACCAGGAGACTGTGGAGCTTGTAAGTGGACTATTTCTCCATTTGCCGGAACTTTTTCCTCACAATCCTCACAGCTCCAGGGCTTCAGGCCATTTTGATCCTCTTCATAGGAACACCTGGGCTTTATTCTGTTCTTGTAAATGATGGAACAAAGGAATAATATGAATCTTGAAGGAGGGCTAAAAGCAATTAATTTTTATTTCCCTTTTAAGTAGATGAAGCAATGATTCTTTGCTTCTTTTCCCAGAACATTTATAATAGATTATATTCAGACTGCCTTTTGAAGGATTTGTATATGAAAATAATGATAGTGTGGAAAACCTTAATTTTGCCAGCAATTAACTGGGATCTAAATATCTTTAGACATAGCAGATAGAAGGATTTTAGAGACAAGAGGACGTATACTATTTATGAAATGGAATAATAATCCGAGCCATTGTAGGGCCTTTCGCCATTGTTGAGTTGAAGTGTTTTCCACTTATCCTTGAGTCAGCAGAAAGCTAGCATGAAATTTGCTGTTATCATTTGATATTCCTTCTCCACCTCTCTTGCCTTTCTTTCCTGTTATTGCACACTCCTTTTCCAAGATAAAGGGAGATACCTAAAACCTAACAAACTTGACACACTTTGAGACTGTTCTTGGATGGTGTTGAACATGCCACTTTAAACCTGTGTAGCTAAGGATAATATATTTTATTCATGGATTGGGTGTGAGATGAAAGCAATCTCAGGGAGACATAGGAAAAAAGAAGATAATGACAACATAAGTTTGTTCCCCTGCAAGTGGGAAAGGCCTATGTTTTAGCTGCTAAGTAGATATAGTGTCAAATGCATATTTCAATAGGGTACTTTAGATTACTCTCTCCTCTTCCACTAATGTAAATTTATATATTTGATAATTCCAATTAGTCCGGATCATGAGGGTGGAATTTAAAAGATTTTTTGTTGTTTTTTTTGTGTGTCAACCCCACGGACAAGTCTATGCAGTTTTCTTGCCATTGTTTCCTTCCCAAGATTGCCCCCCCCTCACTTCACACCTAAGCGGGACTCAAATTCAGAATGTCCTGGTTTCTAGCCCTGTATTTTTAACCACTGCACCAAATAGCCTCTCAAGAGAGTTGTAATTTCTACTTCTTGTCTTAAAATTATCTTCCCTCCAAAAGCTTTATAGCTGTTGTTAGCTGGTAGTCAGCAAGAGAATTGGTGATCTGATGGATTATGCTATTTTTGTAGTAACTGGACATTTCACTTTGGTTGAATGCTAACAGTGATCAATTTTGTGAAGACACAAAACAACTTGCATTACTGTGGATACAATTAGTATCCTAAAGATCATTTTTTTTGTCCTAGCAAGTTTCTAGTTTTTATTACCACAGAAACAGTTGAACATCTGTGGGAAGTCAGCCCCCCCTCCAGAGAAGAAAATATTAAAAGGGCAGACTATTATATTTCCTCAAAGGATCTTAAAGAGGCAGAAAAGCATGCCCAGTTTTTCTTAATAGCCCCAAGTCTCCTTCCTCCAAGCAGAAACCAGCTCTGTAGAAATGCAGATGTAATAATCCATTCAGGAATGTTGGAGCCCTCCAGCTAGAACGGGTGTCAAACTGCTGGCCCGCAGGCCAAACGTGTCATGTGGAAGCGGCACCCCCCCCCATTGCTGGCAATGGCAAAACTGTCCTGATGCATTGCGTGACATCATGTGACATTGTGAGTTTGACATGTCTGAGCTAGAAGCTTAGGAAGACAAGACACCTAAAATCTACATACCCCACCCAAATTTTAAGACAGGACATAATAGGATTAACCCACAGATGCCAAAGGGGCACACTCAGACTCAGGTCAAAGTACATGACACAAGAAATACAAAGCCTCAAACAGGAACAGGAAACAACTCCAAACAAAAGTCCAAAAGAGTATAAAAACCCACTCCCTTCTACATGTACTCACTCTTTTCTTCCAGAGCCATCTCTCTGTCTGGCTCTCCTCTTCAATAAACTACAACCTTCTTTCTAAAGCAGTCACTATGTTGTTTATTCCCGGCTTGGACTGGACCCTGATGAAGACTTTTCCTTCAACAAAACTATTAAGATGAAAATTTAGAAATTTTCAGTAAGATTATTTCAGTAAGATTTCTAAGAGCTGGACATAGGTAAAGAAATACATATCAATGCCTTTCAGTGGTCTTAGGAAAAACAAACAAAATAAATATATAAAATAAGTATGGTTTTAAGCATATTAACATTACTAATCTTCCATCACATTGTTATGAACAGGAGGATGATAGCAGCATATGACTGATAATGTTCAAGGCAACGCATGCATTGAATTGTGTATGCAGGGGCCATTTTAGATTTTGAACAATCTTCCACTCTCCTTGAGCGCCACCTGTTCCAGAGTTGCATCAGAAAGGAGATGGAAAGGCCTGGTCAAAGCTGTTTACAGGAATGGCTTGAGCAAAAGAGGCTCCATGAGGAAGAGGCAAGGTGGAGGGGTCAATGGCAACAGCAGCAACTTTTTTCTTTCATAGAATGTCATGACACTCTTGATGATTGTATAAAAGCATTGCCAGCTCTCCCTGTCTCCACTTGGGGGCAGGGAAGCAAATCCAGAGACATGTGGTGCGCTGTAAAATAGCCAACAGAGGACTTTTGTTTTCCTAGGACTCAGTCTTTGTTTTCTGTTGGAGTGGGAAGCTTCTAGCTTGTAAATGTCAGCATGAGGTTTTAATATAAAAGTCAGTCAGTGTAAGAGATGCTTTGGCAGGCGTGATTCTGAATGATTTTGAAACATTTGCAGTACTATATGCTTATGTCAAACTAATAAATGAAAGCTATATACTAGTTCAAAAAATACTATGATTCAATAAGGATTCAGAAGATAATCTGCACAGTAGGCTTTCCGGCTTCATTTTCTGAAGAAAAAAAAAAGAATGTATATATGTTCATGCCTAGATAAAAAGCAGCAATTCACTGTATGTCTGCATATAAACTATTTTAACATTTTTGAATGTTTTCATAGCTCATTATACTGTGTATATTTTATTGGTGTGCCTATTTACAGGGGTGGAATGGCTCAGTGGTTAAAGACGCTCAGATTGTCAGTTGGAGCTGACAACCCAGGTTTGAGAGCTGAGCTCCATGCAAAGGGGTGAGCTCCTGTTACTTACCCCAGCTCCTGCCCCCCTAGCAGTTGAAAAGCATGGCAAATGCAAGTAGATCAATAGGTACCACTTTGCTGGGAAGGAAATAGAATTCCAAGTGCCTTTGGCCTATAGCCATGCTGGCCACATGACCATGGAATTATCTTCTGACAACCCTGGCTCCCTCAACCAAGAAACGGAGATGAGCACAGTAGCTTAGAGTTGGATACAACCAGTGCTTTTTTTCTAAAAAAAAAAAAAAAGTGCCGGAACTCACACACATCATACAACCCGCCTTGCCTACCCTATAAGGTTCCATCCAAAAAAGGTGCTGGAACTCCGTTCTGGGTGTTCTATGACAAAAAAAGCCCTGGACACAACTGACAGAGAAACCTTTATCTTTATTATGCTTCTACCCTGATTGTACCAGATATTTTTTTTTCTTTCCTGAAAGCTTTCCATTCCTTTATCGAATAGAGTGGCTGCGCTTTTATTTTACAGATTTCGCTATACACCACTCAGTATT